AGGTCCAAAGCTTACAAGTAGAAAAGCCATGGCTCAGACTTAACCTAAGCCACTACAATGTCAATGGCAGAACATCAATTAAAAGGACATTTTTTTGCAACTAAAACAAGCAGAGGGCTCTCCTTGCTGGGTAACTGCCACCCATTGTCCGTATTTTATAGGAATCCTAGTTCATCATTCTGACCTACATCCAGGCAAGGGCTTTATCCCAGTGTTTTCAGATTAAAAGTCCCTACATGTGGTGGAAAGCAACCCTGAAGTTTCAGGCATCATCTGCAACATTACCAGAATTCATTCAACTAAACCAAGACCTCACACTCTATAGAACCATGCTGGGGTAAAGAACAAGACAGGGGCCACATGTGGCTCCTCCAGCTTCCTCCCTCTGCAAGCCAAAGTCAGACTTTGAAAACTTTTAGTGTGATACAACACGTATGACTGAAAACTGATTTTAGCTTTAAAAAAAGGATGTGTTCTAGAGATTGAACCCAGGGTCTCTTCCTCAAGCACATCCCTAGCCCTTTTTATCTTAACTATGCCACTATGTTGCCCAAGCTGAGTTCAAACTTGTGATCCTGCTGCCTCTGCCTCCCACAGTGCTAGAATTATACATATGTGCCTCTAAATCAAGCTCCTATTTTTGCCATTTTGAAGTGCACAGTTTGGGGCATTAAGTGCATCCGATGTAGTATAACCATCAACACTATCTGTGTATAGAAGTCTTTCATCTTGTAAAACTGAAACTCTGTACTTATTAAATAACTATTAAATAATGCTCTCTACTATGGTTTGAATGTGTCCTTGAAATTCATGTTATAAACCCAATCGCTAATGCCAGTGTTCACATCTGATATGTGCAAGAGGTGATGAAGGTAAAGTCCTTGTGAATGAATTAATGCCTTTATCACCAGAGTCTGGCCCTGTTCTGTTCTCTCTCAAACAAATGATGTCTTTCTCTCTACCAAATGATGTCTTCCACCACCTTATGACACAGCAAGAAGGACCTCATCAGATGTAGTTCCTTGCTCTTGGACTTTCCAGCCTCCAGAAACATTAGCCAGATGGACCTCTATCATATATAAATTACTCAGGCTGTGGTATTCCAGTATAGCAGCACAGACTAAGATACTCCCCACTCTCTCCTCCCCATTCCCTGGCATCCACTTTCTGTCTCTATGGTTTTATAAGAAAAGTGGAACCACACAATGCATGTCTTAAAGTGGAAAAAAGTATTTGCCTTTTTACATGGTTCATTTCACTTAGCATAATTTTCTCTAACTTCATCCACTGCTGTAGCACATGTCCTAACTGCCTTCCTTTAAGGGTGCATAAGACTCTGTGGCACGTACATACCACGCTTTATATGTCCATTCAACCAACAATGGCTACCTTTGGGCTGCTGTGAGTAACGCTCTATGAACATGGTGTGCACGCACATACCTCCATACCCTGCTTTCCGCCCTTTTGGGTCCATACCCAGGAGGAGGACTGCTGGTCTTGTGGCAGTTCTGTGTGACTCCGTGAGGTCCCACCAGGCTGTTTCCTAGTACTGCTGCATCATTTGATGGATCCCTGCCAATAGTGCACAGGGTACCAATGTCCCCACGGCCTTGCCAGCATTTATTTTGTTTGAGGTTTTTTTCGGTTTGGTTTTTCTTTAGTGTTTTTGTTTGTTTATTTGTTTTGGGGGTTTTTTTTTTTGCTTTTTAAATAGGCAGCCTAATGGACTAGAAGTGGTATCTCTCTGTGGTTTTGATTTGCATTCCCGAGTTGAAATGAGATTTGGCACTAGAAACAGATCTAGCACAACCAAAAAGTGATTTTAAAAAAGTAAAAAGTGCCAGTACTCTCTTGCTGGAAGCAATTTTCCCTAACATCCCCATGACCATGAGGTCCACACAGAGATACCAGCAGCATCCATGTTTCTTACCTGAGGCAGGTATTCTGGGCCCCTTGGAAATCACAGCCCCAAGTCAAAAATTGCAACAGGTATGATGTACAAAGCAAGTTATTACAAAAACAATGCTAAATGGTGGCAGGCTGCTAAAAATTAAAAGCTTGTATTGTTACACCTAGAACTGATCACAGAAACAACAGGTTGCCTTCTGTATATTCAGAGTTGCCTCACTAGCAATCCTTAGTGCTCACCTTTCATTTGTCAAACCAAATCAACACTGCAAAATCATCTCTCTAGGCTTTGTTTTAAAATAGTCCAAAGGCACCCAAATGAAGAAACATCAGCCATGAGTGAGTAGGTAATTTTTGAAGCCAGATAATGGGAACATGAGGCTCATAATATCTTTCTATTTAAAAAACCTCTGACAAGGTAAGGACTGTTAAGCATATCAACCATCTTGTGAGGCAGACAGACAGTGGAGAGTAATGTCCAAAACAGAAACCACCGGCTTATCAAAGACACTCAGCCCAGGTGACAGTCCCCAGCAGCCTGTCTCCCTCCTTCTCTGAGAGCTCTTGGAGGGCTGTGCTCACCCTCAGCTCTTGAGCTTAGCTCTTCCCTGCCAGCTCCTGGGCAGATGATGTGGAAAAATCCCTCCAGGACATATCAGGTAGAAGCTGGACAGCTTCTGCCTGAGCAGGAACTTGGCCTCGCACTTGCATTTCTCAACCAAGCGCTCTCATTTGCTGACTGCTCCTATGCCCTTCTGTTCTGCCCCAGTGAACACTAACTCAAAAGTGATTAACTCTCAACCCCACACACTGTCAGGTCTGCAAAACCCTGGTAACACAATAACACCCTTCAAGAACCAAGGAGACTTTTTACAACTGTGGATTCACAAACTCTGCAACCTGAATTTGGGGTGCAAATGTGTTACCAAGCAAGGGGGCCAAGAAGCAGGTCTGAAGACCCTCTGAAGAAAGAGAACTAACTGGGGCCCTCAGCCACAGCAGCAGTAGAGTTTGCTCCAGCTGCAGAAATCAGGGTGAGAATCAGAGGCCAAGGCACAAATGTTTGCAAGCATAGAAGCAGAGGGCTCCCCTCTACATGGTAAGGATAAGGCACAGTCTTCCCAAAGAAGGGACCTGTAGAAGCTGCATAGCCACAGTTAGATGCTGAATGTCCCCACAGGCCCACATGTGAAAGAGTGGTACTACTGGGAAGTGGCAGTAACTTTAGGAGGTAGGGTGGAGAGGGAGATCTTCAGGTCTTTGAAGACGTGCCCTCAAAGGAAATTGTGAGTATCTATCCCCTTCACTCCCCTTCAGCTTCCTGGCCATGAGATAATTTGTTCTGCTCAAACTCCCCATCTAATCATGAGTAAAGCATTAACCAAAATAAGCCTTTTCCCTTTGTAAGTGAACTACCAGAACTACCTCAGTTGTTTGTCAGAGTGACAGAACACTAACACACACCCACACCAAATGGCCAGCAGTCCCCTACTACAGGGGCAGTGAAGACTCTGCTGATAAAAAGTCAAGTCACTAAATCCCACCCTATCTTTCACAACAAAAAAAAAACCCGATTACATGGAGATAAACAGCCAGGAAATGATGCTATAAAATCAAGGTTGAAAAGATGAGAGGTCTTTGTACGCCAGCTTTGCTCTCAAGAGTTCCAGTCCAAAAAGGAACCACCAATCCACAGTAGAAGTACAATGTGTCATGGCCACTCTGTCCCTGCCTATCTTCCCCACAGATACCTCTAAACCATGCTTGCTGAGTGGTTTAAAAGCCTCCACACAGTCAGTGCCCGCCTCTCACTGGACCAATCCCACAGACAAGACACACACCATTATCCCTTGGGCCCCCGACCACAACCAGCCAGGGCCCAGTCTTCCTTCTTCTCTTTCAGGCCAGAGACTTTAAAAGAACTGTCAGAAGGCACCACTTCACTCCAGCATGTTCCCTTGGCTCCTCAGCCAACAGCAGCTGGATGTCATCCCTCAACCGTCACCCAGAGCACAGAGCAGCTCCAGTCAGGGTCACCACAGCCTCCACCTTATGCAGCCACTGCCAGTTTGGTGTCTTCATCCTGTATCACCACACTGGGCACAGCTGACTGTTCCTTTCGGATGGTTTCCCTCACCTGGGGACACTCATTCCCAGTCAGCTCTTAGGGGGCTTTCCTCCTCCACCCAGTCCCCAGGACCCAGGACCCAATATTCAGATCTCCCTCTTCTCAGTTAATACATTCTTGGTGATGCGCTCAACCAGCCCCTCAATTTCTGACAGTCACAGACAAAAGAAAATGCCACTCCTGTGAAGGTGGCTAAGAGACAATTCAAACTCACCACTCCACCCTCAAATTCCCACTAGTGAACAGGGTGCGACCATCTTCTACCCTCTCTGCAGTCACTCCATTAACTCATACTTTCCAAGCATTATTCACAGAAACAGAAAATAATTCCAACTACCTACTGAGTCCTTACCACCCCTATGGACCTCTGTCCTCACCTGTGTCCCCTCTTGCCCTTAATGACACCTTTTTGTCCTTCGCACATGCCAAGCTCATTCCTCAAGGCTTTTGTGACTGCAGGCTTCTCTGCCTGGAGCTTTCCTCCCCAGAATTTACTTGGCTACCTTTTCATTCATCCCAGGTCCTGGCCCCAAGTCACCTCCTCAGGAAGCTCTTCCCTGACAACTCTAGATGTCCCAGCCTCCTGACTGCTCTGATGCCCAGCAAGCCCCATCACCCTTGGTGAACTGTCAGCACAAGGGCAGAACTTTTCTCCCTGTCCACTGTCACTTCCCAGAACCCTAGAGGAGGGGCCCTAGCCCCATGGTCAAGTGCACACAAGGCACCATGCTGCCATGACTTCATGGAGCCTTCTGGAGGCAGGGGATGAGGACAGGGAGACAGGGAGACAAGCATCTGGGCAGAGGTAAATAGGGCCTTAGTCTGCTTTCTATCACCAGCCCACAGAGCCTGCCCACTAGGCTCATCCCAGAGCCTCAACCAGGGCCTACACATCAAATGTGAAGAATGATGACTTACTAAATAATGAAAAATTGTAGGAAGATGGCCGCACCCCTGCACTTACCCAGAAGACGATGTTGTAGCTGAACAGGAGGTACTTGTACCAGCAGCTGACCTCAGCATTTGAGTATCTGTAATAGTGCATCTTCTGAGAGGCAGGGCCTACAGAGACAGGGATGATGAGAGGGCAGGCTTAGTTTCCAAATAACACCCAAAAGCACCCCCCAAGTAAAAAGCAAAGGTGAGGCTCAGAGTCAGGCTCCAGTCATCTCCACACAATCTCCCTAGTGTCCTAAGACCAAGCACAGGTCCACTACCAATACCAGCTCCTGGGGAAGCAGAATTCTGTTATCCCTGAGAAACAAACAAAAGAACAGGAGGAGAATTTTTGAAAGGGAGATGACAATTTTCACAGTTATCTTCTTAATCCCAAATATTACTAACCCTTTTTTATTTTTCTACCTTTTGCTCAGAAAATAGGAGTTCAGAAAAGTAGTGTGACTTGCTCAAGGACAAGGAAGCAACAACAGAGGATCTGAACCAAGTACAGAGGGTTCCATAGTCTACATTCTTCCCATCCACCAGAGCCAACCAAGGATACAGTATTTAACCACAAAGAGCCATGTCTGGGAAGGAGAGATGAAAGGTCAGGCGACTTGGGCTCAAGCCAACTGTGGGCACTACGCAAACCCAAAAGGCAGGCAGGCAGTAAGGAAGCCCGGCTCTGTCCTTGCTTTTTAACACCTGAGACCACCTCCCAATTTAGCACACAGAGAGGTAGACCCTGACAAACTGGCCTGGGTAGGGATCCCTGACCCCACAGTGGCCAGCAGTTAACCCACGCAGCCCAGTGCTGCCTACCATAACCTTAGGCCCCTGGGGGTGCAGTAAAGCCGGGACTACACAACCTTTATGGGAAAGCCTGTGACCTGAGGGGTTAAGGGGGGGAGCTATTTGTCTGTGGCCATCCCCAAAGTTCCTCACAGAGTCCTAAGAAAAGGTGAATGCCATCCAAGGGGGATTCTGAGGGCCTGGCCAATCAGTACTGCTTTGAACCCCAGTGGCAACACAGTGACCCTGAACTTCCTGCACCATTCCCTGTCACCCAAGCAAGGCTGAATGGGAGGAAGGGGGCCCAAGATGGGGACAACACAAGGTCTGAGGTCACATAGGTGCCCCTGTTCAACTCACACTTTTCAGGGCACAGAGGGCTGAGGGCAAGAAAAAACAAGTTTACCATGGCAGCAAGGAACAACCTGCCCTGAGCGCCAGTAAGAAGCTGGAAGAAGCTACTTGCAAAACCTCTTCGGGGACTGGCCAATGGGAGCCCAGTGCTGGTTTGTAACGTTCTAAGAAAAACATGTCAGCAAGGAGCACAAGACCATACTCCCCTGAAAACAGGCCCTGTGGCTGCTCAGCAGAGCTCAAGTGGAGAGCACACCCTACCATTTTCTCAACTTGCTGCAGCCTTCCTGGGAGGGACAGAAAAGTGGTCAGTACCCTGATGAGAGAGCCTGGCCTGTCCAACCTCAAAACCTAGCCAGAGAGGTGACAGCACCTGGCAGCTCCCATGTCTACCCTCCTCTCTTTCTGCCTATAACACCACCTTGTGAGAGTGAGAGGGAACACAGGCATCCTCAGGACCTGGCACTCTGTGGTAGGGTACACACTTGAGTTCAGATACCAAGGGGGCCACAGGGTGGCTGCGGGGAGGGCAAAGAGCTCCCTACTGAGACACAGCTGCCTTCCTGCAGCAGCATGGCCCAGCCAAGCCCATCAAAGGCCCTGTACTCGGAGCTTCAGCATCCCAACTGAAACAAGGCTCTTACTGACCAGGCCCTGATGTCGCCAGTGTGAGAAGCTCAGCTGGCACTATCAGGATCACTGATCAGAATCAGATTCCCCAGACCCCAGATCTGCGGTAGGCCTGGGTGAGGCCCTAAATCCTTCTTACTGACAAGTACTTCAAGTGACTAAGACATTCAGGATCCATGGGCAGGGGTCAGCCATGGTCCCTCTAGGGTGCATGGGGCGGGGTGACAACCAACCAAAGGAACTAACACTCACTTGCTTGTGTTCCACAGATGACAGAGTCCCAAAGCACTGGGGGTTTTGTTTTCGGTTTTGATGTATTTGGGGGAGGGACTACAGGGGGCTGGATTCATGAGTGTAGGAAAAAAGCACTTTAAACCTACAACTCAATTAAGTTTATCAGGTAAACAGCCAACTCACCCAGAAGTGTACTAGAAGGCAGGAAAAAGTTCTGGGTGGTAGAAACCCTGTTGTTTTTGTGGACAAGATGATTTCAACCCTTATGAGCGTTCCGTCTTCCTCCAAGTTCCTGGAAAAGTCTGGAAGACTAGGTCAAACATGATACCCAGATGCTTAGGGATCCTAGAAGGTGCCCTGTGGCCACAGCAAAGAACCTTCCAGAAGCTTTGAGGAAGTAAAAAGCCAGACTCCTCCTTTCCCCCAGACTGCAGCGCCACAGAGGAAGTACCTAATTAGCAAACAGGTCTTGCCAGTACGGATGACTCAGCCCTGCTGCTCCTGCCTAGGACCCCTGGTTATCCTGTGGGGACACAGGAACCCTCACCCTGATCTCTGGTCTCTTTCAGCTCCAGGGCGGTCATAAAGGGCACACACTCATAGAGCATTGGGAACCTCACAAAGAGGCAGGCATCAGGGACACCTCCACAGGGCTCCTGGCTTCCTTCCCCCATTGGTTTCACCTTCCTCACAACTGAACAGGAGATAACTCTGTGTTGGTGTTGTTGGGGTTCAAGCCCAAGCTGGAAGATTATAACAGTGATACCTGATCTGATCTTATATGACCCCAAAGGGACCATGAACCTTGGCACCTCACCTGATTTGCTAAACCAAGTCATACCAAATGATAGCAAAATTTATTTTAGCCTTTTACCAACTGTCATGTTCAATTAACACCAAGACCATTTACCTCAACACACACGTGTGCGCGTGCACCCCCCCACACACACTCGCATGAACGACTAAAAACCTTAGTTTTCTAAAAGTGAATGAATAAACTTTTCCCTAGTACTAATTACCTCTCCAGCAGTGAAGAATCCAAAAGCTATTTTGTGAGAGTAGAAAACAGTTACCAAGACCTCAAGCTGTCTCAACTCCAAGAACTTATTAGCACAAAGCAAAGCATTTACATGGCAAATAGAAGGCATACGTTTGACAAATCATCAACTTCTCAAAACAGGGCAAGCTTTCCTCATGGTCTAGTGGTTAGGATTTGGCACTCTCAAAACAGGGCAAAGGTAGAATTATTTAATAGTGTTGGGATAGCTGATAAGAAATCTGAGGAGAATTAAATAAGCAAAACTCAATCTAAATATTTAAAGGGGACACAGGTACGCATATATACACATATCCAGGAAAGACTATTTCAGCAAGCCCATGTTAATCATTTTCTCTCCTGAGACAACAGGAAAACAAATCCAAAGTACAAGATTACCAAAACTTCCCACATGATTAAAAGTAACAGTAAAATAATAAAGGAAACACAAATGATAAAAGTTGTCTGCAGCTGCTGCAATTATAAGAAAAGGTAAATATTTATGACCTGGAAAGATTCATACCTAATAAAACAAAAAACTCATTTTAAGTAAACAAAGAATATTGGTATAATATAGAAATGAAAGGTCAATGTAATTAACATGTAAAAATATTCAATGTAACTGAAAATTAAATTTAAAGACAACCCATAGGTACTATTTTACACTAAATTTACCACCAATGCTGGCAAGCATCTTCACACCTGGCTGGCAGCAGACCAATATGTTTCTATCCTTGGAGAGCAACAGTTACAGACATTCAACACCAAAAACATCTGGTCATACCCTTAATCTAACAAACTCATGACTAAGGATTTACCTCATGAAAATAAACCAGCAGAAGAGAAAGAATATGAATTAAATATGAAATGAACATCCTTGTTTGCAATTATAAAACAATTTGTAAGCACGTGAGGAAAGGCCCAAGTGGATTTTAAGAGTATAAAAATGGCTGAAGGGGTGGTGGCCTTTAAGTGATTTTCCAAAAAAGTTTCCATTCTCACCCTTTCCCATTTTGGTATAATAAATACAAATGGGGCCACTTCCTGAGAGGGCTCCCCTTATACCTCTATACCATAGAAAGCTGTAACATCCCTCCCCTCCTGACCTTTTCTAATTAAAAAAGTGGCACACACTCAACTGTAAGAAAAAATATATATATATACATATACATATGTATGTATTTGATCAATTTAGAAATGTGAAAAGTGAATTAGCAATGAGAAACCACTAAACAATGGCTTTCCAATTGTTTGACCCCTGCTGATTGTAAGAAATGCACTGTACGGGCTGAGGCTATAGCAGCAAATGACCAGCAGGCATAAGGCCTTAGGTTCAATCCCCAATACTATAAATAAAAACAAGCAAACAAAATACATTTAACAAGAAGCAATGCAGTATGTACATGCCTGCATGCACTACTAAAATAATTTTCATTAAACAGTACCTTCATCATATGCTACGCAGTCTACATCTGCTGTTAGATCTTTTTCAAAACTATATCTACACATAATCTAAGAATCAATCACTGTGAAATCTCCCTTTAAGAAAAGAGCATACGCCAGCCTCACTCTGAGGCCAAGCTATCCTCTTTCCATGGAACACTAACCTTCTTGCTGACTCTTACTATTTATAGTCTTAGAAATGTCGGTATCTAATATGCTTGCATTACCATTCCCTGGTTTTTTCTAGTTTGAGGCATTACCTGTCTACTTACTACCTTAGAAGATGTGGATTTAATTCTGCTTCCCACAAACCTCTCCCCACACCCAAGCTACCCTGTCACTCTTGTCTTTCCCATCTCTCTACTACATATTTATAGTTAAACTGTAGAGCTGGATGGAGTCATTTTCAGAGCTGACATTAGGATAACCTCATGAACTATCAAAGTGAACCATGTAAATCTCGATTGCTTTGCTTTTCCTGTGCAACTTTCTCTGGAGTTCATGATTATTTTTGTTTGCGTTATTTTCTACTAATTTACCAATAGTCAACCTCAAATTCAATGTCTGTTGTCTAAATCTCTCAGTAAGTTCTATTTGTTTCTTCTTCCAGAAGAAATCCCTTTGGGAGACTCCA